ATAGTAGCCACTCGGGGAATTTGTTAGCCTGAGTGAAAGATAATCTAGGAAATGTACTGTCCTGGCCCACATAGCTCATTCTCATAATAGAGCTATCAAATAAATATATGTTAACTGGAAAGCATACCCCACCATATTTGGTGGGGCTTCCTCCCAGTTTCATAGGATCTCAGCTTTAACCTTAACATTAGGTTGGTCACAGTGTGGCAAAAAGAAACTGCAAAGTGCAACCTGTACCTGTGTGTCTATGCATTGGTCTATGTTTGTAACTCTGTTGTTGTCAGATTAGAAGTTTGAATACAACCAGTGGAGCAGGAGAAGCAGGGTACACAAGGATGGAGCACTGTGATTATGAGGATAGATGGAGGTGAACCGATGTTGTTTCCCAGCAATAGTGTACCATTATATGAAATTGGTTGTTGTTGCATGCATTCAAGTCAACTCTGCCTTATGGAGACATTCACTTTTCATGGCAAGATTCATTCAGAGAAGGGTTGTCATTGCCTTCCTGTTATTCTGAGAGAATGTGACCTACCTAAGGTCACCCAGCAGATTTTCACAACTGAGCAGGGGTTCAAATCCTTTTCTCTGAGAGTCCTAAATCTAATCTGCACTGCAGAAATAATGTATCTTAACACCACTTTAACTGCCATGGCTCAATACTATGGAATCCTGGGATTTGTAGTTTTGTGAGATATTTAGCCTTCTCTGTCAGAGAGCTCTGGTGCCACAACAAACTACAAGTCCCAGGATTCCACAGCATTGAGCCATGGAACTTAAGGTGGTGTCAAACCACATTATTTCAGCAGTGGAGATTAGACCCTAGTCCAAAATTTAGACCACTACACCATGCTGATTCTTGTAATGCAAGGTGCTTGAAGATGCTTTAGTCTTGCATGAGTGATTAAGGCCTACTCACTGTACAAAAGACCTGTTCCAGGTCCAAAACAATGGATGGGAACAGGACTAAGCGTGATGAGCACCTGCACATACAGTTCAAAATCTAGTACTACATCACTAGACACAAGAGGGTTAATAGAGAACTGCTGGCGACTCCTCTCCTAGTCAGTGGCAAAGTTGCCAGCACATTATCTGTTAGGGAAGTTATGGATGAATGGAGCCAAAAACTAGCAGCTGCTTGGAGATGATTAGTAATTTTTCCTTGCTTTCTCCGGTGTAGGGAAGAGGAAATCTAGGTGTGACTGGGAAACCAAAAAAGCATTTCTTTTCAGGCAAGAGAGAGAAAAAGAGAGAGGGGCAGGGAAGAGTAGGTGCTTTGGATCATTGTTTGGGGTCTGATGTGGAAAAATGGGATTTTCTGCTGGATTATCTAAGCCAAGGGAGGGAAATGGGGGACGGGGCTGGAAGTGGTTCTGGACCAGAATTCCCATAACCCTTTGTGATTCTGACTGCTGGCTAGGGATGATGGAAGTTCTAGGCAAAAAGGACAAAGAGGAGGGAAACATCTGGAAGAACATAGCTGCTCAGCTTTGGTATAAACTGTCTGATCTTCTTATCACAAAAGCTGGGGGTCCCATGTGGCCACCCACAAATTAATATGTTTTAGGGGGATTTTAATAGCTCAAATAAAAATACCCTGGATGGAGCAATGTTCAGCCTGGGATTCTTTCCTTTGTATATCAGTTTCAAATCACACAGAACTCCAGAGGCAGGGCTTTTGCAAACCTAATAGGTCTTGATTGCCTATTCGAGAGCAGGCCATCCCCGAACACAAAAGGTTTAGCTCACAATGACATATTGTTCCTGGGACAGTCTACCCCAACTCTCCAAGAAAAAAGCTCAGAGGAAACAGGGAAACCTGAAGCATGGCAGGTGAAATGATAGTGTTAATAAGTACTGGTACTTCACTCCTGCAGCCATGCCTATGCAAAAAAAATTCTCCCCCATGGCAAATCAGGAAACAATAATGGAAAAGTGTTTCATCCAGACCACTCCAACACACATATTATTGCTGTATCTCCATGGCTGCCTGCTTATTTCTGTTTGTTCTGCCACTGTTAAAAGTCCAGAATGTGCTGAGTCCAGAATGTAAGACAGTGTATGGATAATGGCAAAAGAAAAACACTCCAAACCCCAACAGAGATTCCCTTTATAACAGGCCATTTCTTGGGATTTCTGGCTGAAAAAAATTTTATAGCTTGATTGAAGGAGATGTTTCTGTGCATTATAAGACAGAGACCAACAAAACTGTCAGCTATGTCTGTGGTTTTGAATCCATGCAGGGGAATCCAAGGTTCTTTTTCCATAAATTTCAGCTTTGACACCTTCTCCCTCCTGCTCACCCTGACAAGAACCTGGCATGATCAGGAAGACACAAGTTCCCTGATCTCCATGGAAAATAATATTTTCCTTAGGACAAAAACAAGAGCGGAGGAGCGGGTGTCACCAGATGTTTGAAGGCTAAGGCTATGGCCCTGAAGTGCTACCACCTGAGCCAAAAAGAAATTCCTGCAACTCTCCAACCTTTGGAATGCCACTGCTGTGGATTATAGCTCCCAAAATACCCCAGTCATTACAGCAACTAGCTCTGCTGGCTGGGGATTCTGAGAGCTAGAATCCAAAAAAGTCATAGTTTTAATCTCTGAGCCTGGAAAGGAAGTGATGAAGCTTTACATCACACAGTGAAATAAACTTGGGGTGTTGCTACACTTCTGAAATAAAGCAGTTTGACACCACTTTAACTATTCTGTGGAATCCTGGGATTTGTAGTTTGGTGAGGTCACTGACAGACCAGAGTGAATGCCACACCAAACTACAAATCCCAGGGTTCCATATGACAGAGTCATTGCGGTTTAAGTGGCATCTAATTGCTTTATTTCTGTAATGTGGCTACATACTTGGTTATTTGGGGCCATTCAAGAGGCAATAATAATAATAATAATAATAATAATAATAATAATAAAATGTATTTATACCCCGCCCCTCTGTCAACAATCAGAGCGGCTAACAACAGTTAAAATTCCATACAATATGTAAAACACAACTCTTGTCCCACCCTCCCCTTAAAAAATAATTAAACTAAGCATATCTTAAAACATTTTAGTAAAACAATATAAATTATAAATTTACTAACAAACTTCTAAACAATTATAAATTAAGCAAGCAAAGAAGTGGCTACATCCGAGGAGGGAGGAGGCAGAATAGGGGAGTTTCTGAGGCTGGGAAGTCAGTCAGGAAAGGCCTGCCAGAAGAAATCTGTCTTAACGGCTTTTTTAAAGCTGCTCAAGGTCTTAATTTGACAGATCTCATCCGGCAGGCCATTCCACAATCTGGGGGCGATTACCGAGAATGCCGGAGGTTGCAGCCAGCCTAGATTTTAATGGCTGGAGCAAATTCCTCCCAGAGGACCGGAGTGCACGAGGAGGATTGTAAGGGATGAGACAGTCCCAAAGATAGTTTGGACCCAAGCCATTTAGGGCTTTAAAGGTCATAACCAACATCTTATACTGGGCCCGGAAACTAATAGGCAGCCAGTGGAGAGATTTTAATACCTGTGTTATGTACTGGTGTTATGTGGAAACCATGGAGACCAATTAAAACTTATTTCAACTGATACTCATTTTTGACACTTTTGGGGGTGTCAAACTGGGGTAAAGATAGATCTTGTTCACACAGGGCTTAATAAGATTTTCAGTAAATTAAATTAAAAGGAATCTGGGCCCAACATTAGCAATCCTATAGGAAACAGGCAGTTGCATGATGCTTTTGCTATTGCCAGCAACAGAACTCCTGACATTCCTTACCACCAAGGGCTGGACATGTTCCCAAAGTAAGAATGAAGGTAATGAAAATAAGCATCTTTCAATAAACATGACCTGGGCACAGAGTTGTAAACAAGGCTATTTCTGCCATAAGGGAGAGCAAGGCAACAGCTTCAGACAGCTGGTGCAGGTGGGACAGCAATGACATCTCCATTCTTACTGAGTCTGCCAGCCATTTCCTCTGAAGACAAAGCTACACATCTTTCCTGTAATCCCTTACATTAGAGTGCTGTCCTCAGAGAAGGTGGAGGATGCTGTACTTTAAAAAGTGTCCCAACTGTCCCAATTTGGCAGGACAGTCTCAGTTAATCCTCTGGTGTCCTAATTTTTCAACTGGTTTTTAAATGCCCATTTTTCTCTCTTCTTCCCACCTTTTGCCTTTGCCTTCAACTTATTTCAGTTGCTGCAAATTGAGTTCAAAATGCAAAAGTAGTTTGATCTCAACTTACAGAGCAGAGGGGGAGGAGTGAAGGGGACAAAATCTTGTTCTTTCCAGGACACTCAGACAAAAGCAAACTGATGAAGCTTCTCCTAGCTTGTCTGTTCCTTTTCATTAACAACTTTTGCCATCTTGACCACACTTTGGTGTCGCTTGGCCACATGTGTCCCAGTTTTCATCTGATGTGGGATATGTGGAACTGGGGGTGGAGTGGAGACTTATT